AATATTGAATTGAATATTGCAATTATTATGAATGACTGATGAACATTGAATGTGAATATAAATGTTGAATAATGCATGATGAATAATTTTTAATAATTATTGATTATCTGAACTGAACATTATGTGCATGATATCAAATGATTTGATTATGAATTTAGATTCAGTTTATATGAATGTTCGATGCATTAGATATGCTTACTCAGCTTCAACGCTGAGCGTGTAGTATGTTTTATTTGCTACACGCAGGTTAATGAAGTGACGTGATCCTGGAGGCAGATGGAGGCGAGATTGTCGGAATGGATGTGATGGTTTTGAATTAAAGAACATAAATAAATTATGTTTGTGATTATGATTGTTAAGCTTCCGCAATATTGAAAACTCCGTACTGTTTATATTATGAGAAATATTATTGTGATAAATAAAAGTGTTTGAAATGTTTTAAATTTTTACGATTACCAAGTTAATACTTTAATCTGAAAGGGGCTGCAGACCTGGACAGAGTAGGGTGTTACACAACAAGTACTGAAGGCTCTTATGGTCGGTGAAGATACACATTGTCTCACCGTAGAGGTAATGCCTCCAGATTTTTAAGGCAAGTACAATAGCTGCTAGCTCAAGATCGTGCGTCGGATAATTACACTCATGCGGCTTCAGCTGCCGAGACGCATAAGCAACGACCTTGCCCTCCTCCATAAGAACACATCCCAAGCCGTTATGGGACGCGTCGCTGAACACTGTATACTCCACTCCTGGAGTGGGCTGGACTAGCGCTGGTGCCTAGGTCAGACACTCCTTCAGCTGCTCGAAACTCTGCTGACAGGCGTCAGTCCAAACGAACTTGACGTCCTTCCTCATCAGCTTGTGCAATGGTGATGCTATCTTGGAGAAGTCCTTCACGGACCGGCGATAGTAGCCCGCCAATCCGAGAAAGCTCCTCACCTCACGTGCATTACGCGGAGTCTTCCACTCCGTGATCACTGCTATCTTACACGGGTCTACCTTCACACCTTTGGCCGAGATGACATGGCCGAGGAAGGTAACCTCGTGCAGCCAGAACTCGCACTTGGACAACTTGGCATAAAGCTTCTGTTCCCGAAGAATGCTCAAAACAATGCATAAGTGCTCGGCGTGCTCCTCCTGTGTCCTGGAGTACACCAAGATGTCATCGATGAAGACCACAACAAACTGATCGAGATGCTTCCGGAACACACTGTTCATCAGATCCATGAACACTGCTGGTGCGTTTGTCAAACCAAAAGGCATGACTGTGAATTCGTAATGGCCGTATCTAGTGCGGAAAGCCGTCTTAGGAATGTCTTCCTTCTTAACGGGAATCTGATGGTATCCTGATTGGAGATCGATCTTAGAGAAGACTGTGGCTCCTCTCAGCTGATGAAACAGATCATCAATGCGTGGTAACGGATAGAAATTCTTGATGGTGACTTTGTTCAAGTGACGGTAATCGATGCACAACCGCATCGACTCGTCCTTCTTGCAGACGAATAGAACTGGTGCCCCCCAAGGGGACACACTAGGACGAATGAAGCCCTTATCCAGCAACTCCTGCAGTTGAGCCTTCAGCTCCTTCATTTCCGCAGGCGCCATGCGATAAGGTGTGATTGAGATTGGTCGTGTTCTTGGAACTAGATCGATGGAAAACTCTACCTCACTAGGGGGTGGTAAACTGGGTAAGTCATCTGGAAATACATCGGGAAAGTCACATACGGTAGGGATGTCTTCCTTACGAGGTGCCTCCTGAAGAGTGTCACGCACCGTGCACAGGAATGCTTCGCACTTCTTGCGAATGAGTCGGCGAGCATGAATGTATGAAATGAATTTAGGAGCTTTCGGAAGAAGCTCACCATGGATCAGAATGTCGCTACCGTCTTCAGCTCTCAGTCGAACAGTGTGTGCTCCACAATCAACAACGACTTGGTTGACAGTGAGCCAATCCATGCCTAGAATAACGTCAAACTCACGATGTGGGAGCTCAGTGAGACTTGCAGGGAAGGTCTTTCCTTGGACCACTAATGGACAGTCGTGATACACATGGGTGAGTCGTAGACTATGTCCCAATGGGTTGGACACGATTACCGGATCATCCAAGTCTTCCCTTGGAATGTTAAGCACAACAGGCATAGGCATACTAACATATGATAAAGTAGAACCCAGATCAATTAATGCTGTGATGGATGTATCGAATAAGGTAAACATAACCATGATGACGTCATGGGCTGGCTGCTCAGTACGCCCACGCATGCGTAAGTACAGACCGGGGCCTTCCCCGCCTGGCCGCCAGATGCTTGCCGCTTGGGCTGGCTGGATGCTGCCACAGACTTCTAACTCTAGGCAGGCTGCGCTGCTGGAGCTGAGGCAGGTGGTGCAGATGGAAACGCCTCACTCGAATTCTTCGGACACTCCTTGTGGAAATGCCCAACCTGACCACACCCAAGGCATAGGCCTTGAGTGAACCAACACTCTCCTGGATGCCTGCGTCCACAAAGGTTGCAGATCGGGTAGTGATAAGTTCATTTTGTTCTTATTTTATTCTACATATTTTAAGTGTTATTGCACGAAAATAGTAATAAATTTACCCATTAAAGTGTCTATTCGTGACAAAACTTATGTTTTGTCTCAAGAAGAATAAAATACGGGTTCCAAATTAAATTAAGTGGATTTGTCAATTTTATGTCCCAAATTGGATGAAAAGTTTCAGATTTTAAAGATTATAATACTTCAGAGGTAGAAATCAGTGTCCGGGAGGTAATTGGGCCAATACAGAAAAAATTCGGGCCCAAAACTGCGAGAAGCTGCAATTAGAAGCCAAATGGATGCTGGATTCGGGTCTTGGGCGTCCAAAGTTGGACGCCCGTGGTAGTTGGACGCCCAGGAAACAGAGCTGACGCGAGAATGACACACGGCGCAACCGGATTGGACGGGCCACGTATTAAGGCTACGGGCGTCCAAAGTTGGACGCCCGTACTCCCTACCCTATAAATAGCACGCGATCTCTACCATTCCAAACACCATCTCTCAACCCCACTCGGGTTTCTTCTCAATTTTAGTCAATATTTCGTCGTGTAGATTAGTGTTAGTATTAGCTTTGAAGTATTTTCGGAGGTTTTGACACCAGATCTGTTCAATTCTGCTTGTACGGAAGCCGTAAGTTTCCTTTATTTAATAAAATGCTGTTTTAATTTATGTTTGCATAGTATGAGTTAGGGTCCGGATCTCTGGGTCTGGACTAGTCTATTATCTATTATATATATAAAAGTAGAATCAAAATTGAGTCAATTTCAATCCAATTCTCGCTCTAATCTAACGGTCCAATTTCATTTGCAATTGGCAAATCTGACCGTCGATTACCCACGCCAAATGCTATCTGAATTTCATGGAGACTTTTCTAGAGAGGACATTTGCGGTTTCTTCTCTGCGTCACTCAGATATGCGTCAATCCCAGTATCCCACCCTTCGATCTCCATCTCTCTTCTCCTCTTCATGCCTCGATCCTTCGCTGCCCAATCCATCGTCCATATATGGTAGGTCAAATTCATCTCCTTCTCCACATTTCAATTTAATTTTGGTTTGTCGTTATAGATATGTGGGATTTGAGAGTATGTTTGCTTTTGCAATGAAATTGTTACAGTAGGGAAACAGTTGAGCTTTTAGGGGAGAGTTGGTTAAGAAGTTGTTGAGTGGTTAGAGGTAGTTGAAGATATTTTCCAAAATATCTCCCCTTTAAATACCCCAAGATACATTGTACATTGATATGTTCAGTAATGAAATAACTCTTTTCTACATCCTTCTTCTTCCCCACTTCTCTGTCACGTAACAGAAGCTTTACAGCTTCTGTGTTTTAGCTCATCCTCGAAGATCTCTTCTCCATTACAAGATCTTCCTGCATTGACGCTAACATTGGTATCAAAGCTGATTCCATCCTGGCAAGAACAAGAAATCAATCACGTAGAGAACAAGAAACGAACATGGAGAATGTGCAGCACAATCAATTGAAGGCGATTCTGGAACAACAATTGGCGTCTCAGAACCAGAAAATTGAGGAGATACGAGCGGAGCAACAGAATATGTTGAGCAAGATGATGCAAATCCTGGAGAAATC